GGGCGGCGACGGCGGCGAGCACACGGCGAGCGACGGCAGCAGTCGGGGCGGCGCCGGCTAGCTACGGGGAGGCTACACATGCTACTACCGAAAACTAAGGGGAAGAGATGGATTGAGGAGGGAGAACGGGGAGATGCACTACCGTGCGGACGGGGCGCAGTGACGATGGGCCGACGGCACGGGAATGATCTCTCCGGCCTCGGGCCGGGGAAGAGGAGGAAGACGAGCTCCCGGAGTCCTCTTCCGCGTCCACGAACGCACCGGCTCTCCCGGTGCTTGGCGATGAACGGCAGAGGCGAGATAGAGGGGCGGCAATGGCGCGGTGGCGGCGAGCGAAACGGGAGGAGGAATCGATGGGAGGGCGCCTTGGTTTATAGGACGATGATGTCGGTTTGGAAACCGACCTTGGGCGGTCAAGGCGCGAGCTGGCGCTAGGCGCTCGCGGCCAAAACGGTGACAGAGGCGGATGACGCCGGCGGGGAGGGGAAAAGGAAAAAGGAAGGGAGAAAGGGAGCTTGCCCCTTGCTACTTTGGGAAAAGGAGGAGGGAGCGGGGGCGACGCGGCAGAGGGAGGAGGAGCTCTGCCTCCGTCCCTTGGAGGCTAGCGCGTGGAGTGGCGGGGGCCGAGTCGTGACAACGGCGATGACGGCGAGGCGGTGTGGAGCGGAGCGGCGACACGGGCGGCAGGCGCGGGCAGGCGCGGCAGATGCTGACGGCGGCAGCGACCAGGCGGTCGGCCACCATGGCGCTCGCGCGCGCGGGAAGCAACGGGCGGCGCGGCGATTTCGGCGGCGTCGGCGGGAAGCGGCAGCGAGGGCGGAGGGCGCTCGGCTCAGCGCGGCTCTCGCGCACGCGTGCGCAGCGCACTGGCAGAGCGGGGGAGAGGGAGAGGGAGAGAGAGAGAGAGAGATGGGGAGGGAGGGGGAGATGGGCCGAGAGGGATTCGGCCCATCGAACCCGAGAGAGGCAAAATAGACTTTTGCGGAGGGATTTGATTTGGGAAGGATTTGGATTCGGGATTGAACTTGACGATAGATCGGGGATTTGAGATCTGAGATGGCACGGACACTAGACAACAAGCAAGGAAACGGATTTCGCAAATAGGGTTTTTAAGAGATAATTTTCCCGCTAGGCGCCACGACGGAACGGGCGCTACAGAAGGGGCGATTCAAGTCGATCAAGCTCGATAATGCTTCTCATGGTTCAGTTCTTACGGATGAATGGGCACTAAGAAGGGTCATGCAAGAGATTCTTGAGGTGAATCGGAATTCTAAGTAGGCTCTCGTGTCTATATATAAACTTCTGTTTGAATTGATTTAATTACAAGCATATATACGATGGTTGTCTATTCTTTTGTGTGTCAGGGCTTGTATAGGAAAGAAAGATAGATTTGCATTATCCGTACCATTTGGCAAACGGATGTGTTATAGGATTGTACACGAAGAGCAAAGCCTATAGAAGCAGTGGCGCAGGTAGGGGGGTGCCAAAGGGTGCCAACACCCCCCTATCCAAACACTATCACCATTACACCCCATGTTTTTACTCTATATTAAGTTAGCTAAGATAAGTATTTATCTAGTTTATTTTGTGTAGCTTGAAAGTATTATCAGTTTAGTTTGTTAGTAAGTCTAAAAATATTAACAATAAACATGATTTATAAAATTAGTTTGTGATTTCTCATCTTTTTCAAAGTAAAATAGATGATACTTATTTGTGAGATTATTTAATAGTTTACATTAAAAGAATTTAGCAATAAAGACTAGTTTCAAACTTACAATGATATTACTAAAGAGCTGAAATTCAAGTTTTTTCTTAAAAGGACTAGTTTACGCATTGCTTATTATTTACGGTAACTATTTGACCCTCTTTACTATCAATATTAGTTATTTGGTCTCATGGTTTATCTTCACCCTACACCCCCTAATCTCAAATTCTGGCTTCGCCCCTGTATAGAAGGGGGTAAATGGTACATAACATCAACGAAAGTCAAATTATCAAACTTTAAAAGATTAAAACATACTTCAACTTTAAAAACCAATAGAACACACATTTGATGGTCTATCTGACCTATTAGGGTCGGTCTAACCGAGACCCGGCCAGTCCGACCGTAGGTTACTCGGCTCTGATTGACAAGCCTAAAAGCAGCCTGACAAAGCTACGGTAAAAGCACGTCTCCAAAACCAATCGGTGGATCGAGCAGAATAAAAGTAGATAGACCTAGGAACTAACTCCAAAGAACGGATTTACAAACTAAACAATGGTTTAAGAGAAAACACCCTCGAAAGTCGGCTGTGTCAAAAAATTCAGTAAATTTGAACAAAACCTAGAACTTAAGCAGACTTTAATCTAACAATAACACAATCTTTCTATCCCGATGGGTACCTTTGAAAATCGGACCGGTATATTTTTAGATTTACAAAATCACTGTAGTAGTCTAGTTGTCGATAGATACACATCATCCACCACTAAAATAATTAGCCGTAAATGTAATCACCATCCGAATTTATATAATTGGTATCAGTACGTACCAACAATTTAGCAACCGATCGACTGAATAATTAATTCAGGCAAAGAAATTTTGGTTTCTTAAAATGAAAACCGAACTTGACACCAATGATTTAGCAACCGATCATAGTCAGTCCTGGTCTTGCAGATGAACAGGTGATATGTAGTTTTCTCAATTACGTAGGGCAGCGACCGGCGCTACCATTTCCAACCTTAGTTTTCATTGAAAAAACACACCGTTTAACAGTTTGAAAAACGTGCACGCGGAAAACGATATGGGAAAGTTGGCAACCGGCAATGCGGAACACACCCTTGGCTTGCCACAGTTTCTTTTTATCCTTCCTAGGACCTCTAAAAAAACAAACCTTATAGTTTTTTAGTTTATTATCTCGTAGAATTTCTTTTTATAAATTTTTAGAATTCCCATCGAACACTACCACCGTACTTCTTTATAGCCCGCTCGTTGCACCCCATTTTATTGTTATTGGAAGTTTAAAAATCGAACCTAATCATCATTAGGGGTTTATTATTATTATTATTATTATTATTATTATTATTATTATTATTATTATTATTATTATTATTATTATTATTATTATTATTATTATTATTATTATTAATTTCTAGAAATCCTATCAACAGTCACGACCCAACTCCTTCACACGACCCAACTCCTTCACAGCCTGCCCGCTACCCCTCCTCTTAATCATCATCGGAATACTAAAAATTAAATATAATAATCACTGAAGTTTTGTTTTATAGTTTTTAGATGTCCCATCAACCGGTACTATCCTACTTCTTTACGGCTCATCAAGTGTACTGCCTCTCTCTTTAACTCCCATTTTCAAGTTGTATTCTTATTTTTCTAATTTTAGAATTTAGTTTATTTTTTATTTGAAATTTTAGTTAATCTTATATTGTGTTCTATATGGACTATTTTATCAATATTCTTATCTGTTTTATGAATTTAAGTTATTTCTAAATTATATTCTTAGTTTGAACTCTTATTTTTATTTTTTTTATTTCAGAATTTATTTTATTTTTTATTCTGAACATTAATTGACCATGTGTTCTGTTTAAGATGATATCTTATTTCATATTCCTAATTACTTATTTCGAATTTTAGTTATTTCTAAATTATATTCTTACTTAACTCCTATTTTGCTTTTTCTAATTTTGAAATGAACTTCTATTCTAAATTTTAATTAATCTCGTATTGGGTTCTACATGCATCGTTCTTTCACTATTCTTTATTTTTCATTCAGAATATCGGTTATTACTAAACTGTATTCCTAATAAATTGTCACGTGAAGACGGCGATAGATAACCGACACCTATGCAATGTTAGAGGTGTTGATTATCAATAAGAACTAGGAGTATAGTATGTGACTGTTCGGTTCAAAACCTGACACATATAACAGCGTATAGATATCGGTGCTTGTTCACAAATCAACACCTATATGTAGTTACATGTACCGATTGTAGAATCGACACCTATATGGCATCTTATCGGTGTCATCTGACAGGTGCTAGTGACGAATTCGGTATTGAAGATCAGTCCAACCGATGTTAAAGTGGATTTTATGTACCAGTGATTGTGAATTTGGGATCTGCATCTCCACCAAACCGGGATAATCTTGGTCGTTGTAACCTGTCAAGATGCACGGTATGCATATATATGTAGTTTTCTCGATTAAGGAGGGCAGCGACCGGCGTTATCATTTCCAAATTGTTAGTTTTCATTGCCTCCAGCAAAACTTGTCTGGACGACAATAGCAGCCACAGATCACGCTCAGACACAAATCCCACACCAACCGCAAATCCGCAATTAGGTGCCAAGTTGTATACTTGTATATGTATGGAAACCAAGACTGGACGACAAGCATGTCTATTAGCCATAATAATGTATTCCCTACGATTATAAACATGGAAAGTTTACTACGAGATTTAATTAAACTTTGAAGATATTAACCATCTCTTCTATACGCAATAGGTTTATGATATTATGGTATAGAAAGTTTCAAGACAATTTTTTTAAACACAGTATGCACATACAGGCGCTCATATACATGTTGTCCACTCATCTTCACGAACTTACACCCTAGCTACCCCTATCAGCACCTCCGAAAACGTACAGGGCAATTTTGGATTGATGAAAATCATTAGTGACGCCACGCTATCAAGTTCTCACTGCCGATGAGTACTTTGTCTACCGCTAAAAAAATAAGGCAACAGTCGTAAATACGAGTACTCGTGCTAAGACAAGGAATCTAACCAATCGAGCCTTCGCATTTTCAAGACAACTCTATACACGCCATTTGTCTTGTTTTAAGTTGATCATTTCAGAAGTTATATATCGACGGCGGAAGTTTAAAAATTATGTTCAAATCTTACTCTAAACATCAAATATGTGTGTGTGTCTGTGTGTGTAAGCGTTTAATATTTTTCATAAGAGGGACTAGACTATGCCACACCACGTTATATATATTTTAGCGAAACTCTAACCCTCAGACCTTCAGAGCCACTCCAACCATGGCATCTATTCCACTGGTGGTAGTACAGCTGCTGCTCCTGCTGCTTCCACTTCCCCTCCGAGAGCACCTCTGGTCAGGCCAACACCGGCGAAACGACGTCGATGCCGGCGAGCTCCACCCGATCGTCGTGTTGCCCGGGGTGGCATGCAGCGACCTGGAGGCGCGGCTCACGGAGGCGTACCGGCCGTCGGCGGCGAGGTGCGGCGCGATGAAGGGGAAGGGGTGGTTCCCGCTGTGGAAGAACAGCTCCGACCTCTCGACGCACCGCTACAACGAGTGCTTCCTGGAGCAGATGAGCCTCATCTACGACCCCGTCGCGAACGACTACCGGAACTTCCCCGGCGTCGAGACCCGCGTGCCCTACTTCGGTCTCGTCAAAGGCTACCATCAGAAATGGCCTTTTGACAAGTTAATTCCTCCCCCAAATTAACCGTTCACATATGCGTCCATGCTACTGCCCGTGTCATGCATGTGCAGATGTGCTTCTCCTTAGTTTTAATCTGGTCTCTGATCAAGTGATCAGCTCGATCGATGTGATGTGCGTGCTTGCAGGCCATGGTGCCTTACACCGCTTATACGAGCCCTGGAAGAGATGGGATACCGTGACGGGGACAACATGCACGGAGCTCCTTACGATTTCCGTCATGTTCCTCCAGTCCCTGGCCAGGAATCCCAAGTCTACTCGCGCTACTACGAGGAGTTCATGGAGCTCGTGGAGGCCACAAGCAAGAGGCATCGCAAGAAGAAGGTGATCATTCTCGGGCACAGCCACGGAGGATGCGTCGCCCTTGAGTTCGTCAGGAACACCCCGTTGGCGTGGAGAAAGGAGTACATCAAGCACCTCTTCCTGGTCACGCCTACGCTCTCCGCCGGGCTGCTCGACCCGGTGGAGAACCTTGCCACCGGGCCGCACAACCTGTTCTACGTGCCAGACGCGACGGAGCTGTCGCTGCGGCCAATGTGGAGGAGCTTCGAGACCAGCATCGCCAACCTCCCGTCCCCGGCCGTGTTCGGGCGCGAGCCGATCGTGGTCACCGAGCGGAGGAACTACTCCGCGTACGATATGGAAGATCTCCTTGCCGCCGTCGGTTTCGGTGACGGGATCGAGCCTTTCAGGTAGGGATGCAAGCGGGATTTTTTTTCCGCTTATCCCACTTCTAGTTTATTTTTTCTTCTAAATTTTGTACTACCATGTGGGAAATAAACTAGCAAACGGATTTTTATGCGGGTAGTGGGACTACCCACTTGCATCTCTACTTTCAGGAGACGAATGGTTGTGAGGATGAACTACCTCGAGGCGCCCATGGTGCCGTTGACGTATATCAATGGAGTGGGGAAGAGGACGCCACGGCAATTGGTGTACTGGGACGGTAACTTTGACAAGGCTCCGGAAAAAGTGTATGGTGATGGAGATGGGATAGTTAATCTGGTTACCATGTTAGCGTTCGACGAGGAGATGCGTCGGCAGCCAGGACAGAGGGGGCAATTCAAGTCAATCAAGGTCGAGAACGCTTCCCATATGGGAATTCTTATGGATGAATGGGCGCTAAAGAGGGTCATGCAAGAGATTCTTGAAGTGAATCAGGATTCTTCGTAGGCACTTGTGCTTATGAACTTCTGTTTGAATTGATTTACAAGCATGTATACTGGTGGTTCTCTAAATTGGGATTCGATATCTAGTATTCTTTTGTGAATCGGGGTATGTACAGCGAAGAAAGGTGGATATGTATCATCCATACCATTTGACACACGAAAAATGTTGCATGTTTCCCATGGTATATTAAATATTTCTTGCCCATTTACATGCAAATATCTTTGGGTACCACTACTACAAAACAATAATCCTTGTCGGCTCATCCATGCCAATAAAACTAGAATCGGCACAAATAAGCCATATGTGCTGGCGTGTTATAGGAACTGGAAGCCATAAGCCCTTCGAGTGTTATCCACCGGCACCTTTGTAACACCCCAAATTCCATATAACCAATGAGAACTGTTTTGAAGAAAACCTATGTTCAAAATTGTATTCCTTTGTGTGTATTAAGTATCTAGTGCCAAGAGCTCAAATCAAAACAATCGTTCTATAAAAATGACCATTTTACCCTTTGGATGAACATAGAAATTTATGAATTGCATTATTGAAAATGTAAAAGTTTGTCGCATCACACTAGTATAAAGTTTGCTATGCGAAATATTATTTATGACAAAATTTATTTTTAGATAACGAAATAAAAAAAATATGTATTTATTTTATTTTTTAAAGGTCATATAAAATGAGCATCATTCATACAAAGATAGGTCTACCAATGCTCACAATATTTTATTTATGAATGCTCTCAATAAAAAAATCCATTGTCCTATTAAAATTTCAAATACAAATTTTAATTTATTAAATTTATTTTATTTTCAAAATTTAAGATAAAATTTTCTGCACTAATTATTTAGTCTCATTAGTTTCATAAAATGCACATACTATGCACTCAAACAAAGTTTTCAATCTTTTTTCAAGCTTATATTCATACTTAAATCATCAAGGGCATAAAAGTCATTTGCAACCAAACGTAGCAGTGAAATGAAAGAAAAATTTAACGATAGGGGCATGGAAAGGATCAAGTTGAAATTTCAGAGGTATAGAAGGGATTGGATAAATTTTAGGGATATGAAAGGGATTGAATGAATTTTAAAGGATACACAGGGAATTTACTCTTGTATATACCTATGGGCTGGTTGTGTAGTATTAATGTGCAGTGAAATGTTTTGTGATTTTTGAGCGTTCACGCATCCACAGTATATTATGGATGTATGAGTTCCCTCCCCTATTTAGGTATAGTTGGCCAACTAGACGGCACGGCATGGTGCAGGCCCAACCGTGCCAGCCCACGGGATGCATACATGGCTCAATACGACTAGGGCCGTGCCGGGCCGGCCCGAAGGCACACTGGACCATCGTGCTTCTTCATAGAAAAAGTCTATTTTTCATCCCTCAACTCTGCGGGCTGTGTTCATATGGCAGGAAAATAAGTCAATTTTGTATTCCTCTTCTTTTTGGCCTTGCCTTATACGATTACTAAAGTCTATTTTGCATCCCTATATTTTTCTCGATTGTGCCGTGCCAGGCTGGCCCACCGTGCCGAGGGTGCAGCTCAGGCATGGCCCGGTAGTCGGGCCAGGCCGGCACGGGCACGACCCAGTCGAACCGTGCCGTGCTTGGGTCGGGCCAAAATGGTATGCCTTGGGCTAGGCCTCGGGCCATATGGCCATCTATATACTTAGGACAATCCCAACTCAAACACTACGAAGTAGTTTTCATACTTGTAAGTATAGAAACTATATACCCAATGGGTGTTATCATCCAATCACCACCTCTCTTTTCTCTCCTTTTATCCACATATCCCTTTGTTTTTATTTTTGATTCTTGTGTGGAGCTAGTTTTTTGCATGAGGCATCCACAATGTTATGCAAGAGTAATCCATAGGAAATATAGTATTCCATTGGGTGAATAGCTAATTTAGTCCCTTAAGTTTTACCCAAGGCTCAATTTGGTCCTTCATATTTCATTTTGTCCACATAGCTACTCTAAATATTTATTTTGGCTTGAAATCATCCTTGGGCCCACTTAATATGCCATATGGCAATTTCTAGTCAATATTTCTATTAGAAAATATCCCTTTTGCCCTTAATTTGTATACAACTATATACTAGAAAAGAGAAAACCAAGATGAATAAACAACATTACAGATGTACTTCCGATTATTTCAACATGTGCACATATGAAACTTAAGCAATTGTTGCCGTATACACTTTCTTGTACATAATTTATTTTTGTTTTACATAATTTACTAGGCATTATCTATAAAAAAAAGTCAAGCATGCAATTTTTGTCTCATATATGTGAATGGTGGGGGTATAAGTGTCATTTATCAAGAGAGTTGTTGGTTCAAGGATAAGTTTGAACTAAAATGAAAACATGAAGGACTAATACGGATAGATTGAAACATCAAGGACTAAACCGAGCCTCAGATGAAACTTGAAGGATCACTTTGGCTATTCACCATATTCCATTCAGCTATCTATTACCATTGTGTAACTAGTTTATATAGAGAAAATAACAAAAAGACACTCATATGTATATGGACTATCCGTATGGAATAAATAATATTACCTATATCTATTTCTCTCTCATTTCCTAATACTACCTTGTATCTATATACATTATGTAGATTTTTTTTTACTGGACATTATGAAGATTGTTATAGTTAAAGTCTATTTATGTGTTTCCCATCTATATGGATCATTTTAACCATATACATTGATAATGCTCTCGAAATATTTTTTTTCTTTTTTCTCTCTCTCTCCTCATTAACTATTTTGCTATCTCAATTATTTACTTATTTGACAGTATATTCAATATAGTTGGAGGGTTGGGACTACTCTTATATATCTACAGGGCATCTGAAATTGTACCTTATTCGGATGATATAGGTTGACTTGAGAAGCACATGCGTTCTTTTTCCTCTGTTTATCCCGGGAAGAGAAACTAGACATATATACTTTGCGAAAATGTGATGTATATCAAACGACAAATTAAAACGAGCTATCAGTGACCAGAAGGATTGGTAGGCTAAAATAGCGGGTAGATAACGAAAGAATAGTTTGGCTCGGCTCGTTCGTTTGAGCTCCCTGTCTTAACCTTAACGAAAGAATAGTTTGGCTCGGCTCGTGAGCTTGCTCGTTAATGCACCTATTCATTTCACCTTTGTAATTTCAAATTTACCATTTTATCGTATAAAAACCTAAAGTGTAACACCGCTAGTCAGTCTTGGCCTTGGTGATATGTACAGGGCGATATGCAGTTTTCTCAATTACGTAGGGCAGCGACCGGCGCTACCGTTTCCAACCTTAGTTTTCATTTCTCAATTACGGGGACGACAATAAGCAAGCCGATCATGCTCAGCCGCAAATCCCACCAACTGCAAATCCGCAATTAGCTGCCAAGTCGTATACGGAAACCAAGACTGGATAAGCATACCAGTTAGTGTTAGCCATAATAATTTATTCCCTACCGTCATAAATATTAGACGTTTACAGCAAGGTTAAACTTTAAAAATATTGATCATCATTTTAGATTAGAATAAGTTAATCTAACTAGCTAAGCGAGCATGTGTAATTGCATAACTAGCACCCGTACAAAGTTTTCTAATTTTTTTACGCATACTTTTTCTTTAAGATTTATTAAATAGTCATCTCATTGTGTTATGAATTTTAAAAATTGAACATTTTAATTTTATAAGTTTTAAAAAGTCCCATCACGTACTACCCCTTAATTTGATCCGGATTTTTGGAGAAAGCCAAACATGGATACAAAGTCTTGAAAAAACAGAAAAAGGTCACAACACACCAGACTAGAAGAACTTGCTGGGATCTCAACTACTCCCTCCGTTTTTTAATAGATGACGCCGTTGATTTTTTCTCACATGTTTGACCATTCGTATTATTCAAAAAATTTATGCAAATGTATAAGATATAAATCACACTTAAAGTACTATGAGTGATAAAACAACTCATAATAAAATAAATTATAATTACGTAAATTTCTTGAATAAGACGAATAGTCAAACGTGTGAGAAAAAGTCAACGGCGTCATCTATTTAAAAAATGGAGGTAGTACGTATAAAGCACACACATCAAACCCAAAACGCTCAAACACAGGAGCTTAAACCCCTCAGAAATGAAACAGCACACAAAAGGCAACGCCTAGAACGACACTAAAGATCTGCAGGCAGCGTAGACGGTCTCAGTAACTTCACTTTGTTCACTATAGCTTCAAGCATACTACCCCTTCTTTCATAGTCAGTCCTGGTCTTGCAGATGAACAGATGATATGTAGTTTTCTCAATTACTTAGGGCAGCGACCGGCGCTACCATTTCCAACCTTAGTTTTCATTTCTCAATTACGGGGACGACAATAGCAAGCCGATCATGCTCAGCCGCAAATCCCACCAACTGCAGATCCGCAATTAGGTGACTGGATTAGCGCGCATACTCCCTCCGTCCCAAAAAGTACATTCCTAGCATTACAATGAGAGAGTAGTGAAGAGTAAAAATGACAAATATGTCTCTCATTATTAGAAAATGTAGTAATGTTGATAAATAGGTAAAGGGTATTTAAGAGATAAAACTCCGACGTTAGGTAGGATGATAGAAGTTGATTTTTTTAGACAAAATTTAAACTATAGAAGTTGAGTTTTTTTGGGGACGGTGAAAGTACCTGTTAGCCATAATAATGTATTCCCTACCATCATAAATATTGGATGTTTACAGCAAGGTTAAACTTTAAAAATATTGATCATCATTTTAGATTAGAATAAGTTAATCTAACTAGCTAAGTGAGCTTGTGTAATTGCATGTCTAACACCCGTACAAAGTTATCTAATTTTTTTATGCATGCTTTTTCTTTAAGATTTATTAAATAGTCATCTCATTGTATTATGATTTTTAAAAATTAAACTTTTAGTTTTATAAGTCCCATCACATACTACCCCTTCTTTCTTTGACGCACCTATATTTTTTTTCCTTTATTTACTTGTCTAACTTGCCACACGTTATTTTTATCCTTTCCTAGGACATCTCAAAAACAAACCTTATAATTTTTTTTAGAGTTTATTATCTCATAGGATTTCTTTTTTTCTTTTATAAATCTTTAGAATTCCCATCAAACACTTCAACCGTACTTCTTCGTAGCTTGCTCGCTGCACTCCATTTTTTTTGTTATTGGGAGTTTAAAAATTGAACCTAATCATCATTAGGGGTTCTTTATTATTATTATTTTCTAGAAATCCTATCAACAGTCGCGACCCTACTCCTTCACAAC